GGTCTTGAGACTCTGAGTAAATAGATCAGCTTCTAGCCTTCTAGCACTTTGCCAGTTCATCCACTTAATTTGAGAAAACCACATAGAGCCCTTCTGTTCCCATTTCAGTCAGTACTCTACCTCCCTTTAGGTCAGAATTTGCTACTATTTATTACTTATCTCCCACTCATCTCATCCTCATCAACGCTTCACTGCAATAAACAATCTTATCCAACATTCACAGCTTCTCTTAAATTCACAAGATTCTACCCTTATGGCATCAGGAAATACCTAGGGTCCACCTAAACATTCTCTGTCCTCCTCCTTAACTACTTTGCTAGAATCTCTGACATTGAACTTCTTACTATCATAAAGCTTCCACTTTACTTGCTGACAAAATCAGACACTGTTTTTAGTGACTCCCTACTTATTCCATCATACTTGCTCTCATTTTTTACTATCTCATTCTCTTTTGGCTGTTATTGATATTCCATCTAAATGACAGTACTCATCCCACTTCTTTAACAGCTATCCAGTCCATCAACTTCTCCCCTATATAGTCAAAATGTTGGTGTTTGCTGTGCACAACCAATAAATAGAATTGGAGAATAATTTCAGTTCAAACTGCAATTCGTCTAAATTTTGGGCCAATTGGGCAATTGGTCGAATTCCTAAACTCAGATCCGAAATATATCCGGATCATGAACCAACCAAAATGCAAAATAGGCAAGCATATTCTTTTTGATTTGTGATTCTTGATTCCGACAGTGGCGCCAAAAAAAAAAGATGATTTATTAGAAAAAATAGGTGGCTGGTGGCTAAGGCACAGTTACTAAATGTTGATTTTTATTTACACATCAAGAAGTGAGCAGTAGAGGGGGAAAAAAGAAGATGCAGTAAAAAAACAAATAAATTATTATTTAAGTACATTAACTAGCAAACAGGACTCACAGCTACCAAGAGAAGGTACATCCTTATGCAGAGTCTGGTAGCTCTTTTGGATGGCTTTCCACCCACTCCTCCTCACACCACCCCACCTCCTGGAACTCACTACATTTACAGATATCACAAATTATCTGACTTGCCAAACACACTAATTATGTCTCACAAACTCTCATTACCTGCTCAACTATCACACTACCTACCTGCAACCCCTGACTGCTCCAACCTCATCTAATTTTGCATTACTAAAAATCCTAATTTTATTAAGACACGGTGGCTCTTATTATGCTGCACTCTTTCTTTATTTCCCTCAGCAGCAAAGAAAAAATTTAACAATGAAATCAACACAGGAAACAGTCAGTAACATACATCTTCCATGGCAACCAACAGCCAATCAGGTTCCACTCTCCAGCAGAATAGGCAGTATTCCCTAAACTATTTCCTCTTTCTTTGCTGCTCCCTCAGTTAAGTACACTGATCCCATAGTTCCTTAACTGTGGTATTGATATCTGATATATTTATGGTATTATTGTCTTATAGTGTGTTATAGTACTATTGTCTTTGGTTTAATTCTCCTTTTTATTGAATATATGTTATGCTTAATATTTTGTATAAATACAATTTGTATGGTAAATGTTCCCCCTTCTGGTTCCCTTTAGCCTATTTTTAGGGGCTTCGGGAGGATTCTTATTATTTCTCGGTTTTATACCCTCAATTTTTTCTACCTACGATTGTTTTACTGCGTTCGCTGCGTTTTCGTGTCCTTTTTTCTCTTAATCTTTAACGGTCGCGGGTTTTTTCACTTTCTAGTGTTCGCGCATGCGTACCATTTGGTACTTTTTCCGTTCATTGGTTTTCTATAGGTTTTCTGTTTCCCTGCGAACCCATGTCTGGTACTTTTCACCGTTCGTGTGTTTCGCATGTACAGTTCATTCGCACGAGTCTGCGAATGCGCGCAATTAGTTTCTTTCAGATGTTTGTACACTTCACAGGAGTCTAATAGATTTTTCATGCGAACGAGCGGTTGTTTCGCAGAATTTCATGCTTTCTTTCCCGATAGTCTTGCCCCTTCACCTTCATTACCTTCTCCTGTCCGCTGATCGCACCCATACGGCTAACTCACGCTTACAGGACTTCTCGCGGGTGGCTACTTTCCTTTGAGATACCCTGCCTACCACCATCAGACTCTTCCCTAGTCTTCAATCGTTTAAAAAGTGCCTTAAAACCTATCTCTTTAGAAAAGCTTACAGCCTCCCAGAGTAATCTCTACCTCACATACCAGTCCCTCGCACTCTCCTAAAGGGAAGCACTCTATTCTCTCCTCCAGCTCTGCTTCACTCCACCATGTTTGATTACTACTTTTTTTTTTATTTCTTTTTTTTTTTCAGTTTTTCTTTATTTCGTAAAGACAAGTTATGGGGTACAGAAAAGAAGAGGGAAGCAGTCCGTTGTTACAGATCGGGGTTACATAACAATATGTGCATATAAATATACTTCCATCCCTGCTTGAGTCTAAGACAAACCCGGTGATTGCTACTTCTTGTCCTGTTGTGTTTTATGCCCCTCCTCCTAGAGACTGTAAATGCTTTGAGCAGGGCCCTCTTAAACCTATTGTTCCTGTAAGTTTTTGTAAATGTTTTATTTATTCATAAATCTCCCCCTCTGATAATATTTTAAAGCACTACGGAATATACTGGCGCTATATAAATACCAGTGATGATAATAATAATAACAAACATATAATATACAAATAGATCAATTTAGATTGTTTGTTAATGCTCCTCCTCTTTTCCCCTCTATTGGTTACTTTTCTCACTTGATCTGTGAAGCAAATGGCAGGGAATTGCTGCTATCAGTGTACTGCAAAATATATACATAATATTAAATTATATTTATATTTTGCATTATTCTGATTAGTTTATTTTTGCGCCCTTTTAAATTGGTCTGATCGAGTTCCTGAATAGAGTTTTCGGTACCAAAATTCTGCAAAAGCTGTACCAACATATGACTGAAATGTAGGCATCCTGAAAAATTTCTATGTTTGGGAAAAATGGTTTGCAAAAAGTCCCTGGCCACACACAGCCAGCATGCTCCTCCTCTGTCTGCACTTCACGCATATTAGTAATGGATTAGCTCCTTTTCTGCAATACAACCCACCATACCCAAAAACCTCAAACTGTTAAATGAAACCACTGGCAACAATATCAAAGCCCACTTGATGTGTTTTGTGTTGTATAGCCTCATTTGTATATATTGTGTACTATAAGTTTTAAAAGAACACTCCGAGCACCATAACACTACTGCTTGCCATAGCGGTTATAATTGACAGGATTGCCCAGTTATAAGTAGTCAAACTGTTTGCTTTGCTAATGTTTATTTAAAAATTATAGTTAGGGTGCAAAAAAGCAACAGATAACAAAACAAAACATTTAGATGCAAATTGCTATATACTTTGATAAATATCCCCCCTTGTTTCTGTTTCCCCACCTCCGTGCAGTATGTTCAGTTGCAGATAAGAGCAGAACTTCTAACAATGATTGATAGGGATCTCTATTCTAGGAAAGACTTAAAACAGACTAAACAGACGCCAATTCTGTTGTAAATAAAGATATATCGATAGAGCCCTTTCCTTTAGACGGCTACTATACTTTATATCTTACACATCGATATCTAGCCCTACTCCAGCTATATAGTGGGGGGTCCACTGAGTACACGTCTTTGATCTATTCAGGCAGTGATCCCTATTCCCACTGCAGGAGTTATTTATATAGTGAAGAATAATTTTTCTTATATCACTATATTCTTTCTAGTGCGTCTTTTGGATCCAACAAGCACTATGAATGGGGTTCTATGTGGTTAAGTCATTATGCAGACATCATGATTTCCGTGTAAAAGCTATTAATGTATCTAGAAAAAAGAAAAGAAACTGTGTATAAAAGGCGCTTATAAATAGTGAAGAGTAGTATAAAAGGATGCTACAACACTCTCGTGGGGGTCCCTCACACCCAACTCAAATTGAAAACTACAGAAAAGGTAAAAGAGCCACAGGCAGTTCACCTATAAGAGTGGAGCATATAATAATAATAATGGACACCTACCCAACATTAAGGGTCATCTGGTCCTAACGTAGTAATAACTTCCAATTCAGCATATATACAATGAAAAAGAGGAACATATACAGAGAAAATAATAGTGTAAATCTGAGTAACAGTATATTATATTACAACAATCATGAGAAATGCCAACTCACATATTTCAGAGCCCAAATGAGGATAGGCTCAAATCACTTGCGTTTTTTTACCGTCTGGTGGTACTGTCCCCTCTTCTTTGGACCCGTAGACAGAATCCCTCAGAAATAGAATATCAGAAAAGGGCGTAATATAGTGTAGTAACTTTAAACCAAGGTGAGTATATTTAATAAAATGAATGCTCACCTTATATTGAGCCTACTATTCGGCTCTAAGTAATCAGCGTGAGTGTCAGTTTAAGGGAGACACCAACCCTTCTTTGAGCAGCTTAAGTAGAGGTCAACCGGAACTTGATTAAAATTAATTTATTTTGCCAACAGGCAAGAAAATCCAACTGCATACAAATCAAATTAAAAGCAGAAGAAGGATAAAAAATGTCCCATAAATGTCCTTGTTTCCCGAGACGCGTTTTGCCCTGCTTGAGGGCTTTCTCAATCAGTTATTCATGTATCTAATGTATCTAGGTCTATTTATTTTTTAAGACCTTTAGAACCCTTTTTTGTTACACCACTCTATGTAGCAATTTCTACTTTATGGACTTTTTCTTTCCTTTTATTTCAACTTAATTGATGTACACACTTTAATGCACAAAAAACCTGTTTGTGCACGACAGGGAGGGCTTTAGCCCGGTGTGGCTTGGCCGATTGTTGGAGGGTGGCCCACCCCGAGGGCAGAGATTACACCTTCTATTCGGCTGTGCACCGGCGTTACAGCCGAATAGACTACATCCTAATGGCCCAAGAGGCCCTCACACTACTCCAACGAGCCAACATAGGACTCATAGCAGACTCAGACCACGCCCCCACAACAATACAAATCCAGTCCCCCCTACATAAACCCACTGAGCGGCAATGGAAGTTAAATGAAAACCTATTGCTCGACCTAACGGACAAGGAACAAGCCAGGCAAGCGCTGACACAATACTTTGATACCAACAACACACCAGACACTCCCCCCCTAACCGTATGGGAGGCACATAAATGTGTCATCCGGGGCCACTATATCAAAATATGCTCACAGCGCAAAAAAGAACGCACGCAACAACTGTCTACCTTAAACACACAAATCGCCACATTAAAGCAGGCACACAAACAAAACCAGGGGGAGGACGAATTTCATCAACTGACGGAGCTTAGGAGGCAAAGGCGGGACATACTATCCAAGGGACTTTTGCGCACCCTTAGAAAGTCAGCCCGATACTTCTTTGAGTACTCCAACAAGAGCGGTAGGCTTTTAGCCCGCCAGCTTCAGGACAGACGAAGGGCGAACCATATACACAAAATTAAAACAAGAGACAAGACTGAAACAAGTATGCCCGATGGAATCCAACGGGCCTTCGTGGACTACTACACAGACTTATATAACATCCCCACACCCACGACAGCCACCGCACATGCCCAACGCCGTCACCTAATATCGGAATACCTAGACCAAAATGTAGAATGACAACTTACACCTGAAATGTTGGAGGAATTAGAGCAACCCCTCACGATAGAAGAGCTAGCGGCTGCATTAAAACTTTCCAAGACCCATAGGGCTCCCGGCCCAGACGGCCTCCCAATAGCCTACTTACGAACATTCCGCGACATTTTACTGCCGAACCTTCTACGGGGCCTCGAGTCGCTTCGAGACGGGGAGAAATTCCCCACCGACTCATTAGCGGCCATAGTCACGGTAATACCCAAGGAAGGCAAGGACCCAACGAACTGCGCAAGCTACCGTCCCATATCCCTACTCAATGCAGACCTCAAATTGTTCGCCAAGACACTGGCCCTGCGAATCGCAAAGCACCTACCACACCTGGTACACTCGGATCAGGTCGGGTTCGTACCTGAAAGGGAGGGAAGGGACAACACCATTAAAGCCCTAAACATTCTGCAAGTAGCAAGGTCGCAACACCGGGAGCTTCTCCTTCTCTCGACAGATACCGAGAAGGCTTTCGACCGAGTGGACTGGGTGTATCTGGAGGAGACACTCAGGCACTTGGGATTCGGCCCTTATATGCGGTCATGGGTCCTCTCCCTATACACGAGGCCAATGGCTCGGATACGGGTGAACGGAGCCCTGTCCGCCCCCTTCCCCATTCGGAACAGAACCCGCCAAGGATGCCCGCTGTCCCCCCTCCTGTTTGCCCTCTCCCTGGAACCCTTCCTGGGGGCGGTCCGACGGGACGGGGGCATCGCGGGATTCACCGTTGGCCGACAAGAATATCGGGTAGCCGCATACGCGGATGATATGTTACCTCACCCAACCGCCTACTCTTCTGGCTGCATTCCGAAGATTTGGCTTGATATCTAACCTTAAGCTCAATACAGATAAGTCTGAGGATCTACACCTACCAGGCCCTCAGGATTCCTTCCCGATGCTACATACCCAATTTCGTTTCAAGTGGTGCCCCACTAAACTGAAATACCTGGGCATATGGCTACCTAAAGACATGACCCAACTGTACTACCAAAATTACCACCCGCTACTACAAACAATCCAGGCAGATATGAGAAAATGGGCCCCGCAATATATATCCTGGTTCGGACGCATTAACGCAGTCAAAATGAACCTACTACCCAGGCTGCTCTACCTATTCCAGACGGTGCTGATCGCGGTCCCCAGAGCGTTTTTCAGCTCCTTGACGACCGCCATCCGCAGATTTGTCTGGAACTCGCGCCCAACGCGCATCAAGAGAACCACATGGGAACTGCCAAAACTGTTGGGGGGAGCCGGCATGCCCTCAATAGAGACGTATTACCGGGCCGCACACTTACACAGGCTCACAGACTGGCACGCGCAACATCCCACAAAACAGTGGGTCACAATGGAATTAGAACAGTCAGGAGGACGCATACCCCCCACATTATGGCTACACACGGCCACATACGCAGACTTACTAACCCAAAATCCCTTAATGGATGCCACCCTGAGGGTCTGGATGGCTATCCGATATCGTCTACAACTTACCACTGCACCCAGCCCCCTGACCCCTCTCATACATAACCCGGACTTGGCGGATACGCTAACGCGCGGCGACTTAGCCGGACTTCAACCTACGAACTGGGCATATATGCACCAGTGGTTCAGTACCAACGGTCTCAAAACACTCAGGGAATTATGCCCAGACAGAACACCTACATTCTTAGAACAGTTCAGATACAGCCAAATAAAATCCTATTACTCAACCCTGTCGGGAAAGGGGCACTTACACAGACCCTTAACTGACTTCGAAACCTTATGTGTGCACCGCACACATATCTCCAGGGGTATCTCAACCCTGTACACACTACTCCTGACCCAGATGAACAGAGACGTGGAGCTTAGGTTCAAGGAACACTGGGAGAGAGATGCGGGAGAGACACTCACAGCACATGAATGGGACAAGATTTACACCCTTACACACAAATGCTCTATTAGCTCGAAATATCAGGAATTAAACTATAAAGTGCTAACACGCTGGTACAGAACGCCCGACACACTGCACCGCATGCACGAAACCATATCAGACACATGCTGGCGAAGTGGCACTCAACCTGGCACCTATATCCACTTATGGTGGTCATGCCCGGTAATTACCCCTTTCTGGGAACAAATTAGAGGGGAAATCAACAAAGTCACTGGCGCAGATATGCCCCTGGCACCCTTAACGATGCTTCTGCACCACACCCGAAGCCCTCTGAAAGTATACAAAAAATCTCTAGAGCTGCCGCTGCTCAATGCCGCCAAATCCCTCATCCCGAGGATGTGGAAACAGCCAGGAGCGCCCACCTTGGGGCAATGGGTGGCGGCAGTGGAAGACGTATACTTAATGGAAACCCTGACGGCCGACCTCCACGGGAAACCGGAGCGATGCGCATTGACCTGGTACCCATGGACCACATACGTGGCGGATAGAACAAGGGCCCCCGAACCAACCTAGCGGAAACGCACACAACACCCCGACAAGCTCCTCACACCCCGTAGGCACAGACACAACCTACCCAACTACCACACACAGACAACTGACAGGTCTCCCCCCGACTAAAACTGACACCTGAACGGCATTGCGCTGACCGAGACAACCTACCCACCCCACCAGGACCTGGAGCAATCCAGGACGGACAACCTAACGCAACCAGAAGCACAGAGACAGGTTTGGGACACGGGAACACTGGACCCCGGACAAACGATGAGACCCCAAAGCTCACGCGCCACACCCAGAGCACTGCACCTACAGTCAGTAAACTGCCTCTAAGTTGTATGGAAGCTCCCCCCGTACCTGCGACACATAGACAACCCCCAGACGACTAGCACGTTACTTAGCACCACGGTCTGCAGTAGGGACGACTTAACCTAGGTCGACAGACCCCCACCGGGGAACCGTAAGCGAAATAACTGGGTCCAATGGTACACATAGCATCCTAAGTAGCGTCGTACACCTAAGAGATACTGCCCAAAGGATACAACAGTAGCCGAGGTGATGACCCAGGGATAGCGTATGACACACTGTCAGCTAAAATCGCAGTCTGGATACGACAGTCGTTGCTAAGACCTGGACCCAGCCCCTGCTCCGTTAGAGCGCTAAGTATCTGTAGGCTATAGCCATGATAGCCTGGGGGGCCGATAGAGGAAACCCACAGAGGGGTCCATGTTGCTGCTGGAGCTAAACCTAGTCCGCACTAAGTTGTTCAAACTGCCTAAATGTACTTCTTCAGACTGACCAATGTTACACTATTTTTTCTGAAAAACTGAAAAATAAAGATTGTCAAAAAAAAAAAAACCTGTTTGTTTTTTTGCATATCATTTGGAGATTTGTCCTGAAAACTTTTGAACAGGACCTCCTTTATCAATTTATCGTTATTTATTCATAGGAAATTAATTGTTCCTTTAGTATTTTATCTTTATAATCCATTTATTATTAGTTTAAGCATATATTTGATAACATTGTATTTTTGTTGATTTTTTTGGATACATCGTATCAATCTGGTTTTAAACTTTATTTAGTATTAAAAGTTACATTTTAACTTGAGGGCACTCACTTTTTCTTTTTCCTTGCCTTTACTACTGCTGTAGTCCACTAAGGGTTAATCCCTACAAGAGTGCATCCTTTCTGCTTCCTACTTTCTTTGTTTTCTATAGCTATTCATAAACAGGACTATGCAACGTCACACATTTAGACGAGAGGAAAGGAGATTTAGTCTAAAGTAAAGGAAAGGGTTTTTTTACAGTAAGAACAATAAGGATGTGGAATTCGTTGCCTGAAGAGGTGGTTTTATCTTTACAGATGTTTAAACAGCAACTGGATGAATTCTTGCAAAAACATAATATTCAGGGATACAATTTTTAATTTGTGGGGTAAGAGCTTCTTGGCTGCCACTCGGATGAAGAATGAACTTTTTCCTAGTTTGTTGCACTATGGGAAAGCGCTTCAAACAGGTTTTTTTTGTCTTCTTTTGGATTAACAGCAAAACCATATGTGAGAAAGGCTGAACTTGATATGTATTTTCTCAGCCTGTAAATTAATTAATTAGCCATATGGATATCTACATATAAATTTTTAAGAACTCACATAAACTTATTAAATATAGGGGATAATTAAATATTATATTAAAATCTTGGAAGTGGTGACTCCCCTTTAATTCAGACCTTCTTTTAACCACTCAACGAGTACTGAAATTAGGCCATGGTAGAACCAGTACTGCTGCACAATGCAAATGTACCGTGGTGGGATCATTAATTAAATTATCAATGTCATACACCCCTTTTTTACACCCTTCAATTATAAAGCACAGTTTGAAATATGCAGCTAACCTCACCCTGTTTTATTTAAAGGGAATATTTTTTCCCTTGACTTTTAAATCTGGATTTAAGTTTGTTCCTATTTCAAAGTAAGCAGTTCTTACTTTTCAGAAACACCATGATGACTGTGCTTATTACAAGGGGAATTCCAGATATGACTTGTCCCACATTTTTTAACATAATAAAAATAAACAAACAAGAAATAAAGATACTGGTCTTTGATTAATGGATGTGCTGCACATTTAAAGATTTTCATACCTGCCAATATTACATGCCCACCACCTGGGACAGAAATGGGCAGACAAGGGCAGACCCACCTATGAAAGAGCAGGATCAACCATGAAAGCATTGGCCCTATCAAAAAAGTGGGCTTCCTAAAGACTGACTGACAGCCCCGATCTTATTGTAGACTATGCAGAGTGCAGCTAGTCCTAGTGCCTTATCCCTTCTACATCTTGAAATCTGGCCAGCAGATTCAACTGCTGGGCATATTTGAGAATGTGATCTGCCAGGCAGATTGAGCTGCTGGGTAAGTATGAGACTGTTTGACAGGACAACAAAATGTGCGACTGTCCCGGCAAACGTTTAACTGCCACCTATGGGTTTTTTTCAGTTTCTTTCAATGAGCTCTGCCTAAACCAGGAAGTAGCTGAGATTTGTCACCAATTGTCTTCAGTTCGATGTGACCTAGACATATATTACATCTTTGTGTCAATGGGCAGCATGTGAAAAGTGCTAAACTATTGTAAGTAGAACTAATTTGCTCTTCAATGATTCTAATGAGTAGATATTATATTCTTTTCCACGATTTCTTAATTGCCCTCCTACTTCACTGGAATTCTAATGCAGAAGAGTACTTTTCTTGTCCTGTCCATAGATATATATAGCTGTTTTAGATAGGCCTGTACCCGGCAACTGATTTTTGGGAAAGTAGATTACCCCTCAGGAGCAGTTTCACTTATCTCATAGGTTTAGTGGAACTGCTTTATAGACTGACAACAGCCTTACTGCAATTGCTATTGATTTATACAAAGCTAACCTAATTTTTATTTCTATTCTGCTGTGGTTTTTAAAATTGCTACAGCTAAAAGTTACTCTCAGAAGTGATATGAAGGTACTAACTGCAGAAGAACCGTTTCTATAGCCCACAATTGTTACGGAGATTAGAAGGCCAAGAGGTTCTCTCTGAAGATGAACCATCAATCATAGAAGAAGAGAGTGCTAAGACAAGACAGAAGAGAATAAAAGGAGACTCTCTACAGAGGTTAACAGCAATACAGTGGCATATAAGCTGTAGTAAGTGCAGTCATCAGTATGGAGAGTTGTCAAGGAATCCTCTGTTCCTTATATGTGTTTAGGCATAACAGGTTTAGCTCGTAAGGTAGTGAGATACTGATAAATGTAGAGTGCTTAACATTGAAGTCCAATTCTAATGATGGCAGCTCAATACCTTTTGTGGTGTGGATGCACAATGATAATTCTGATAGTGATGTCCCTAAAGTATATCAAGTGTAGCAGTTTAAGTCTAAGAAAAATAAACTGTTGAATTAAAGAATTCAACAACAAAGGGTTTCTAGTCACACAACTAGATTCCACTATCTAATAAAGGCTACGAAATTTGAGCTGCTGAATCCTGTAATGATTTAATGGCTAAACAAAATAATGTGAGTCTACGCAGTTGGAAATGGTCTTGAGAGCAAATAGCCTGACCTGTAGAGAATCCATCTATCTGGTCAAGGGAATATAACCTGCCAGATGGTGAATGATGTAGAGTTTGAGATCATGTGTTTGTGGAATAATGAGAGGACTGTGCAATGGACAGTAGGGCTTAGTTCAGCCACAGCCTCTTATAATTTTGGCAGGTTCTGCCTACTTCAGTGCAGTAGTCAGGTCTCCATGGGCTTCAAGCAAATACTTTACTGGAATTGATTTACTGCACAAAAATCCTTGCTCCACATTTGAAGGTCTACCCTGTCATTACCATGGATTTGAGAGCCATTAATGACCAAATTAAGAACATTACAGAGAAACATATATCTTATTGACCTGAGACAATGCGATTACAACATATCTCTTAGTCCATAGGCAAGTACCTTGACAAAACCCCTATGTACAGCATTCAGCAGTGGTTAAAGAGGGTTAAAGAAATGCACTCCATAGGGGCCATGATCGCCTCTATGAAACAGAAGTCAGACAAATATGTAACAATATGGATCTATTGGATCACACATATATGTAAATTTATTGTATATGAGCGCTTACACATGAGGTTTCTTGTCCCTTTTACTACTGTTGATACATGTCAGGGGCATCAGGTGCCTGGATTATGAACCTCAACCAAGAGCACTCACACCCGTCACCCCTACCCTCCTTTGTCTCTCTATCTCACTCTCTCACCCTTTTCCACCTTCTTTATCTATCCTGATCCCCCCTTAAATGGAAGGGAAGTGCTCACCTCCTATTTTTTGCAATCGTGGGATTGGTAGGATCCCCTTGTGTTTTTACCCCTTAGTCTATAGGCACCCAGACTGAAAGGGCATATCATATCATTCTAAAAAATAAGGAACAGTGGGCATAGATAACTGACAATCTGACCATATGTGCATACAGATTTCTGTCAGAAAGGTGTATTGGAGAAGATAACCAAGCATTTATAAAAAATTTTTTTAGCATGTATGTACTAAGAAAAATAATTAGGTGGCATATTATTACATAGCGATATTAAAATATTTTGATGACAGTATTCCTTTAAGTAACTTTACATACAAATACTGCACATAAATAAATGGTAAACATTAATATTGGTAAATTGATAAGAAACCTCAATTAGAAAATTTAGATTTTGGCAAATTATGTGTGAGGTTCTGCTAAAGCAGAATATAGTAAATATATAATACATAATAAATACATAAAAGAAAACATTTTTATTGTAGCTGTTTGGGGTCTATTTAGAAGCATGGGCTTGGAGCTGCCACTTTATTAGCCCCTATGTTGATCTGGCCTACTTGTAATAGTGCATGTTTGGGGCAATACTCACTTACAGGACCAGACTAGGACACAAATTTGACCTGAGCATCTAAAGGCAGAGCAGCCCAGTATGAGAGGGCGGAGACAAGAAGATGCGTGCTGTGTCATCATCAATTTTACGCCTCCCTCCCCCAAGTGGGCATGTCATTCTGATGCCCCATCCAGGGCAGACCACGCACAGGACCCCGCTGAAGAGTTCTCACAGGGGAAATTAACTGTTTTTATTTAATGGAGTGTAACTGAATTTAATGTAATGCTTATTCTGTGTTTATTGGTAACTTGTCTCTGCTTATGAGATTACATATTTGGGGTAGGCTGTTTACAGTGTTGCATGTGGGTAGACTACATGTGGTGTTTAGTGTGTGTGGAAACCTGCTTGTGGGGTTGCATGCATGGGGTAAACTACTTGTGGTGTTGTATGTTTGTGAGGAGGGACTGTGTTCTGCTTTTGAGGTTAAGTGTGTGGGGTTGCATGTTGGGGAGAGGCTGCTTGAGTGGTTGTTTGAGAGGAGTGGGTTGTCTGTCTGTGAATGGGGCTGTTTGCAGTTAAGTGTGTGTATAGGGGCTGTAGAGTGTATTTGTGGGGGAGTGATGAGGGCTGTAATGTATGTGGGGATAAGGGCTGTAGAATGTAAGCGATAAGTTCCCTGCATTGTCCTCCATGTCAGAAAGTTGTCATGGTTAACCATGGCAACGCTCTGATACTTTCCCTGGCACAGGCGGGAAGTAACTGTCTGCACCCTAAGGGGGTGCAGACAAGGTGGCTTTCCCACTGGACCACCAGAGTACACAAGGTAAGCCACAAAGACGAGGGAATAAAAGTTAGTTTCGCTTTGTTTTAAAATTAAATTATGTTTTATTTTTATACTTGCTTGACAAACCCAGAACATCAGTCTCCCTAGCCCATACTTGTACAGTACATGTATAAGTGCTGACCCCATCTTTATACAGATAGCAATTACTATGTAAGCATCAAGCCTCTAAGATTTAGTGATTCTTGCTCCAAAGGTTGCCCTGTGGAAGCCACCAGGAAATCTCACTAGCAAACAGAGTCTGGTTACAGTTATGAGAAAAACAAAAATAATTTTAATCTTGACTGCTGACCAATCCCCACTCCCCACAGCCCCCAACAAAAACACATGAGACCAGAATTATGGGTAAGGGCAACGACCACAGCTTTATTAAATTTACAACTATTTTAAAGGACCAGCATTCCATCCAACTGTCAGCTGTTGGCTAACCTACCCCAACAGACATATCCCACTTCCTTGTCCAGAGTTCGTATCAGCCTGCCTACCGCCATCAGCCCTCGGCAGGCTGCGACTCCCTAAGCCGACTCATCATTTCACTTCACTTTCCATTTCGCTGGCCAGGAGCAACGCCGGTGCTGTGACAACGAGAAAACAAAACCAGAACCATGCACAGACACCAGAAAACCCAAAAACCATTTATCAAGAAACACAGGGAGGGTGGGCAGGAAAGAGTCCCTTGTTCCTCCTTTTCCCCTCCAACTTGCAATAATGTTATACCTTCGTGCCAACCTCCTTACTTGTGGGCAGTAGTCATGTCTGCCCTTCCTTTCAATCCAGGGCAATACTTTCTGAGTTTCTGTATTTCATGATGTATTTGTGACATATTTGGTCTCCCTTCAAAACTTCTCATGCAAAACTGTCCAATGGTTGTAATAATAACTAGTATTTATATAGCGCCTTTCTCCTAGTGGAGAAACACACACTCTTGGAATTAACCAAATCAGCAGGTGAATAGTAATAGATGTTATTATTACCCAATTGATGGTACTCATTTTATCGACCACAGAAGGATGAAGGGCTTTGTTGATCTTTTTGGGATTTGAACCTTTGCATCGACTTTGCATTATTTGAAGAGGCTTTGTAATCAGGGAATTTACCAACTGAGCTACCTCACCAGTTCATGTTATTTAAAAATATGTTTAATCTGATGTTTTAGTTTAAAATTTTATATCATATGCCCACATGCACAGCTTTACATATTCTTATACATTTCTACATTTCAAAAATCTTTATTCAACAAAGTGTTATTCATCTTTTTATTAAAAAAAAGCAAGCAACCAAAAACACTATAGAAGGAAAAGCTTTTTTTAAATTTTTTTATTTATTTTTTTGCCAGTTAAGCATAAGATCTGTTTATAGATGTTGACTAGTAGAATCATTTGGAAAGAGGGCACTGATGAGAAATGCTGACTTTAGTTCTTAGCCTCTAGACAGCAGCTTCCAAAATGAACGATCAGAGCAATAAATGTTTATTACAGGGAAGTTGGGAATATTTATGGGGTGATGTCCCCAAACCAGTAAGGGAGGCTGCAGTAGAAAGAAGTGTCACCACACCTGCCATGCAAATTATAGGGTGTTACACCAAAGCCTGAGGCAAATACCAGGGGTGTGCTCTATGTCTTGGGAGTAACAGAGATGGTATAAAACCAGGGTGAATGCCAAGAGCAGATAGCCTGGAATCTCCAAGGCAAGGTAAGGCATAACATTTAAAGGGCATTATGCAGGTTCTAAATGATGAGAGGCATGGCATTGAGGACAGGGAGACAATCAAGGGAGGATAAACAGGGCTATCAAGGGAGAATAAACCTAGGAAGGAGCAACATTCAGCATGGGACTAGAAAAGGGGGTTTTGACAACAGGATGAATGTGCACTGGCAGAAGCAAATGAGACTGGATGAAGGTTTTTTTTTTTTTTTAAATTTCTTTACTAAAATGAAAATTGGTGGAAATGAAAAGTAATTTCAATGTAAATTTCATAATTTCAGGCCAATACTGTTGAATTCAAAACATTTTCCAAGTTTCCAAGTCAGCTATGCTTCCAGTTTGGCTAATTATGCTTTAAATTTGAAATTCAATTTGCATTTCTGGCAATTCTAACATTAGTAAATAATCCTGATATTGTCTCTGATCTGTTCTTAAACAAAATGCTAGTTTAAACAAGCACGGCTGAAGGGGTAATGGTAATAGAAGTCAAGGGTCACTAGATAATAACATGGTGCCTAAAGTATGAATGCTGTGTGCTTTAGTGTAGTCTCTTTAAAACCACAATATGATTTGTGTAGTCTCTTTAAAACCACAATATGATTTGTGTAGTGTCATTAAAACCATAATATAATTGTCATTGCAGAAAGATGAAGGCCCTAACATTCCTTGCATGCTGTTTGTTGATTGCATCGTCCAGTAAGTATCTTCCAACTTTTCAAACACCTTTTAAAAGTCATTCCATTCCTATATTTCTCCACAAGCTGGGGGAATATGGGTGATTGAATGAAGACCTGTCTATATGAGCGTTCTCCTGCTCTCTTTTGTCAGAGAGTTTTATACTGATACAGAGAACTTTAAATTGAGATCTACAGCCTGGTCCATAAATATTGGGACATCGACACAATTCTAATCTTTTTGGCTCTATATACCACCACAATGGATTTGAAATGAAATTAACAAGATGTGCGTTAACTGCAGACGTTTAGCTTTAATTTGAGGGTATTTACATCCAAATCAGGTGAACGGTGTAGGAATTACAACAGTTTGAATATGTGCCTCATTTCATTTCAAATACATTGTGGTGGTGTATAGAGCCAAAAAGATTACAATTGTGTCGGTGTCCCAATATTTATGGACCTGACTGTATACATTTGCTAGCACAAGGTATAGATAACATTTAATGCTCTTTAAAATAATGATATTTTTGTGTACCATGACACACTTTAAGTACGTTAAAGCAAAGATGTAAGGCAATCATACATACCTAAGTAAGTGGTAAATGGGAATTGTGATAGACAGACCTACCTCTGACTGCAAGTTTGTAGGTAAGCTAGAATGTATATTTTTTTTACATTTGAAATTGCTGACCAGAGCCTACACCCAATAAAAGCCTTCAATTTAATATTGTTGGATAAAATTCTGAAATGATTTAATATTTTTAATCAAATTTAAAAATGATTTAATATTATGAAAAATATTTTATTGTTTTTCATATTTTGATGATTTTTATATATTGATATATATGTTTTATATTTGTTGTTTTGATATTTTAGTATTATGAAAAAAAGAATTGTAAATGTTTGAACACATTTTAAAAAAAAATAATTTGCAAAGCTCATGCAACAATATTAAATTGAAGGAATATTAGGACAATTATATCTTAGAGGGCTTGGGGTGGAGGACAATTTCTTTTTTTAGGATGGCCATCATGGGCAGATGACAAGAATGAGGTGTCTAGGCAGCAAATGTTGCCACACATGAATAATATTGCAGGGTGATTCCCTCAATAAATGATTGGAATAGAAACATTGTTTGCAAAACATTTAGTATAGATATGTAATTGGATTAAGTCTTTCTCCATGAAAGATTACCTTACCATTATCAGTTACTTAAATGTTTATTAATGGGTTATTGATAACTTCTACTTATTGCAAATTAACTATCTATACATGATAGTCTACTTCTTATGTATGAGATATCTGAACTTCTTTATAAAATACACATTTGTAAAAATAAAACAACAAGAAGCTGGTGTCATACACAATGAGTATAGTCTCTTCCGCTACCCTGGTTGAATTCTTGAATTACTCTCTTTAATCAATGTGAGCAAATAGGAGATCTATGAATCCATCTTACGTCCCAGCTCCCTTGTACGGTTCCATTTGTGACCTTGTGACTATGGGTGATGGGATATGACATTGGGTTCCTTATACCGTGAGTATTATCAGTCTACTAGTCGGAGAACAGTTACATTTTTGCAGCTTCAAAGGGCCTATTGATTTTGTCTCTAATGTGCTCTTGCATGTAAAGATGTTATCTCTATTACTCCATTCCTTCATTGATTAACATAATAAAGAATTAAAGATTGTTTCATCACTCATGTAGTATAGCTTGCAAGGGAAGAGGAAAATCCTTGCTATCCTACAGTAGACCACTATTGATGGTCTTTAACTTGGAAAGTTCTGCAGTTGTTAAAGGGACATGTATCACTTTGAGACAAATGTCTCATTAAAAAGATTTGGCTTTGAATGAGACATTTGCCTTACTCCTTAGGATGAAAAAAACAAGGTAAATAGTTTTTTTCAAGTTTACCTAATTCTTCTTTCTTATGGTTTAAACATAAAAACAGCAGCAGAAGTAGGAGTATTTTACCATATAGGTCCCCTGAAGTAAAAGCAATATATAAAGAAACCGTTAATTGTATAAACTGCTTGGCCACACACATTTTCAATGTATTTAATGATTATGGAGATTTATTGGAAAATTGTCATACTAAGCTATTTCTTTCTCTTCTTTTCACTTTCTGCAGGTGCTCAGTACTGGTGGAACTCCTTTCCTGGATCATGGGGGAATTCTAACTCTGGAGGAGGGGGGTATAATTCTGGAGGAGGAGGTGGGCACTCAGGATCATCAGGGGGTTATAACTCAGGAGGAGAAGGGTCATCAGGGGGGTATAAGCCTGGGAATTCAGGAGGAGGAGGATCATCATCAGGAGGCTATAACCCTGGAGGTGGATCACCAGGAGGTTATACTCCTAAACCTGAGCCTGGACCTAACAAAAAGTGTGAGTTGAGCTGCATAACTATTACTGGAAAAAAGGACACTGCTGAATGTCCAAGAGGTAAGATAGTATTCAAGCCACTTCACTATCACTATATATCGTAATCTCCTTCTCCTCTGACATCAAGTCAACTACCAAACCCTGTTGCTTTCATATTTTAAAAAAATACAGCTTGAATCTGCCCCTTCCTAAAACCAGATGAACCTAAGTTGCTCATCCATACCATAGTCATAATGAATAAACCATGCCATAAAATTATAATAAATGCTCATATTCTTGCCTTCTCAAACTTCCCCAAGTCACTGCTCTGTCAGTATTTAAATTGGCTTCTTATAGGCTTCAGGGTTCAGTTTAAAATCAAAGTGGATGTGTACATTTCTTCAGAACACTGTCTTTATCTACCTATCCTCTCTAATAAATATGTTCTAGTCACTTTGTTCTATAGGATACCTGCCCATGTTCTCTTCCCATTCTCTCGCCTTCAACTCTTGAAGACCACTTTAAGGAATTCCATTCCCCATTCTGTTACACTTGCCCCCAGTCTTCATTTCTTCAAAATTACTGAAAGCTCACTTCTTCAAGAAGACATTAATTAAACTGTTAAAGCAACTCTGTCACCTTCAGGAGTCAAGCTCTTTTGTTCTCCTCAGCTGTCACTGATATTGGATGAGGGCTTGACAAGGCTTAACAAAAGGTATCTCCACCTTTTGTCAAGCTCTGTCAAGAGTAGGAATAATACATAAGACAAAGTTGTCCCTACTTTGTCTTATGATATCTTTTGACTGTATTCCAACACATTTTGTGTTTATTAAATTCTTAATTTCATTCCTTTGGAGGGGAAGGGGGAGATAGACAGAGCTGTTTCAACATAGTTTCTTACCCCTTCTTTCCTCATACCTCCACCAATCCACTTTTTTCTTCTCCTCCAGCTGCGTTATATACATCTTATTTTATGTATGCAATGCGTTTTACCTTTTTCGTGTACTCTGCTAATTTTAAAATGTAATGCTCGAGAATCATTGGGACACCTGCTTGCACAGTGCATGTGTGGAAATCCACTAACAACGCTTCTCATACTGAAGTATTGATAGCAATGCTTCTCTATGAGAAGCACCCATTTTTTATTTGAAATCCAGTTCAAAGTGAGTGAATCAGGAAACCCTTTTTAATTTGATTAAAAATATATGATTACACGTCTTATATTGTCTTTATTTATAATGCACACATATAAGTGAATACTTATTTTAGTGCATATCCTCCTTTGCCTTTGTGCCATCGGGACAAGGTATTTTTAAGTCCTTTTTGGTCACAATCACTTCTCTTCCACTGTTTATCCAAGACATGCAAGTAAACAGAATGTGGTATTTATTCATTAATCCTGGTGTCATGTGGCATGAGAACAGGGCCGGAGTGGGAAGAAAATTCGGCCCGGGCATTTTTTAATTACAGCGGCCCACTAAAAAGGGGGCGGGGCCAGATGATCACCAATGACAAGCACACCCCATCACAAAGTGAGCATGTTGCTTCAATGCTCTTCCAGGGTAGACCATTCGCAGAGCTCTGCTGAAGAGCTCTGGCATGAGAAAAATACCCTGTATTTGTTCTGCACAGTGCAAGCAAATTTAATAACATGCTTGCACTGTGTTTGCTTGAAATTTGTCTCTGGTGTCTCCATAGTTGGGATACCAGGAGACAAAAATGCCAGGAAAGCATATTGCGCAGTGTGTGTGAGGGTGCTCTGTGTGTGTGTGTGTGTGTGTGTGTAAGGGGTGTAGTGTGTGTGAGTGATGGTTGCTGTGTTTGCATGAGGGTGCTATGTGGGTAAGGGTGCTGTGTGTGAGATGGGTGCAGTGTGTGTGTGCTGTGTGTGAGTGGGTGCTGTGTTTGCATGAGGGTGCTATGGTTCCACTCACACACTGGAACCATGTCCTGTGGTCCGATAAGACCAAGATAAACCTATTTAGTTCAGATGGTGTCAACTGCAGGGCCGGCGCACGGATAGCGCCGGCCCTGCAGAGACCGGCAGGAGAGATCCTGTGATCTCCCTGCCGGCCTCGGCCCCACGGCCCACCGCGGCCCACCGGGCATTTGCCCGGTGTGCCCGATGGCCAGTCCGGGCCTACATGAGAATATATAAAAGGTACTCTGCACCAGTTTCAGCTATTCAAATTGTGCATTGCCTCTAGTACAGAAGGTGCTTCTGACCAAAGAGGATATAAAGATGGCTGCTCTCATGTGGTAAGGGTAAGTCAAAAGATGTGTGGAACATAGATAGTAAGCAAATGTATGCATTAAAATTAATACACAAAAAGGATATATGAGCAATCTCTAAGTTTTAATAATAACATAAAATTGCAGTTTTCTTTTAAAGGAGTCATATACAAACCTACTGTCGCTTGCTCTTTGTTTAGTAAATTACAACTATGCAAAATGCAAAGATGCCGTTATTTTGTAACTTTTCATTTTTTTCTGCTATATTAGTACGTCACACTACATGAATCTCTTAAAGGGACACTCCACTGCCCAAATATTTTTAATCGCTATTTAGTAGATATAGCCTAATGGAAAAGTGCATGCATTTAACTATGCATTTTTTTCTTTGGGGTACATCTAAAAACAGCTTGTGAAATCTGCAGATCCTTCTGAAGCTTTTGGAAGCCCCCCTTCTAACCCTAAATTTTGATGACCCTCTATCTTAAGCTCCTCCCCTGACCCTCCCATATTCTACCGTTTAACACACCTCTTAGAACACTTATTTACAGACACACACCAATACACAAACACACACAGACATGCATAGGCAAACACACACACACAGACATGACACATATACATACATGGACAGGTACACACAGGCACAGACACACACACATAGGCACAGAATGGTAAACATATGCACACACAGACAAGCAGAAACAGGCATACACACACACACACACACACACACACACACGGAGAGTGGCACAGACAGACAGACATAGGCACAGACACACACAGGAATACAAAGGCACAGACAAGCACACACAGACACACACAGACATACAAATACACAATAAAAGGATGTGCTTGTACTTTGCCTTCCTAGACAACAGTTTAGCAGGGTTGGCAGCTGTAAGTCTTCTGTAGGGAGAGCACCCAGCACACCGCGAGCTCTGCACTTCATGGTGTGCCAGTCTCCTCATGAAGACTCTTGTAGACCTCTTTATGGATCTCCATTCCCCATTCTATTAAACTCGCCCCCAGTCTTCATTTCTTCAAAGTAACTAAATGTGACTACAAGCTGTTAGTAGCATCTTTTAAAGTTGAATTAACACAAGATATACAGTAAATGTTTGCAAAGCTTTAATTTTTCTTTAATGCATTCTCCTTTTTATACAGGATACACCCCGACAAGCTGCATTTGTGGGAATGGATGTAAAGACTTTGACTTTGAGAACGACCTCAAATGTAGCTGCTACTGTAATAATGTGCCATTCACCAAAGCCCGCTGCTGCAAGGTTGCATAAAGAGCTCATCTTTGGCCCATCTTTCACTTATTTCACTTCCTTATTTTTGTACATTAGTTCACTGCAGAAACAACAATATCATAATAAAGAAAAATATTTTACAGTTTTGATTGTGGGTATTCATTGTTAATAGTGCAATAACAGAAATAAATGGGGGAGATTTTTGGTGTAATAGGAGGAATTATAGTGAGAGATTATATGAACTAATAGGAGGGGTTAAAGAGAGGTGAAATGGAGTAATAAGCAGTAATATAAGGAGTTATAGAGAGGTTATATGGAGTAATAAGAGGAGTTACAGGGAGAGGTTATATGGAGTAATAGGAGGGGTTATAGGGAGAGGTTATATGGAATAATATGAGAGGTTATAGAGAGTAATAGCATGGGTTATAGGGAGAGGTTATATAGAGTAATAGGAGGAGTTACAGGGAGAGGTTATATGGAGTAATAAGAGGAGTTACAGGGAGAGGTTATATGGAGTAATAGGAGGGGTTATAGGGAGAGGTTATATGGAATAATATGAGAGGTTATAGAGAGTAATAGCATGGGTTATAGGGAGAGGTTATATAGAGTAATAGGAGGAGTTACAGGGAGAGGTTATATGGAGTAATAAGAGGAGTTACAGGGAGAGGTTATATGGAGTAATAGGAGGGGTTATAGGGAGAGGTTATATGGAATAATATGAGAGGTTATAGAGAGTAATAGCATGGGTTATAGGGAGAGGTTATATAGAGTAATAGGAGGAGTTACAGGGAGAGGTTATATGAAGTAATAGGAGGAGTTACAGGGAGAGGTTATATGGAGTAATAGGAGGGGTTATAGAGAGAGGTTATATGGAGTAATAGGAGGGGTTATAGAGAGAGGTTATATGGAGTAATAGGAGGAGTTATGGGGAGATATTATATGGAGTAATAGGAGGGCTTATAGGGAGAGGTTATATGGAGTAATAGGAGGAGTTATAGGGAGAGGTGATATGGAGTAATACGAGGAGTTATTGGGAGAGGTTATATGGAGTAATAGGAGGAGTTATTGGGAGAGGTTATATGGAGTAATAGGAGGAGTTATAGTGAGAGGTTACATGGAGTAATAGGAGGAGTTATAGGGAGAGGTTATATAGAGTAATAGGAGGGGTTATAGGGAGAGGTTATATGGAGTAATACGAGGAGATATTGGGAGAGGTTATATGGAGTAATAGGAGGGGTTATAGGGAGAGGTTATATGGAGTAATAGGAGGGGTTATAGGGAGAGGTTATATGGAGTAATAGGAGGGGTTATTGGGAGAGGTTATATGGAGTAACAGGAGGGGTTATAGGGAGAGGCTATATGGAGTAATAGGAGGGGTTATAGGGAGAGGTTATATGGAGTAATAGAAGGGGTTATAGGGAGAGGTTATATGGAGTAATAGGAGGGGTTATAGGGTAGGTTATATGGAATAATAGGAGGGGTTACATAGAGTTTATATGAAGTAATAGGAGGGATTATATAGAGTTTATATGAAGTAATAGGAGGGGTTATATGGAGTAATAGGAGGGGTTATAAGGTAGTTATATGGGCAATGGACCTGAATCCAGGATCAGCAATAGCACGGTTTTCGTAACCTGAATTCAGTACCAAACTACACAAAAGGAAGCCTTTCGTGCTATACTTCATTGCCTATATCCGCAATACCCTCTGGATGACAGTGTGTACCACAAGAAGAATTGAAAGACTGGATTCACCCTGTATGGTTATAAGCAACTCTTACATTTTGACATTCAAAAGGGTGAGATCATTGTTTTGTTGATAACTCAGAAGAAGTGTTTCTTTTTTTTCTCCTTTGTTTGCTTTTCTGCTTTTTGCATATAAGCTTTAGGGCTTAGTAGACTGTGTATAGATATAAATAATTCTTTTTCATTTATTTATTTATTTATTTTTTAAGTACATGGACATTTTTTTTACAGATATGGAGAAGGAAGGAACTTGTTAATGTATCCACCTCATCAAGGACTCATAAATTGCGATTGATGTATTGTCTATATTGTCACGGATGCAACCTACTTCAAGAGTGTGCGTGACGTAGTTGTGGTGGTGAAAGGGTTAACGTTCACTATTTGTCTGCACTAGACTGGAACTAATGATAAAATCCCCCTTAACACCACCCACACTTAAGCATAATAATATGAATATTACAATTTTTATGCCTCCACTACCAATTCATAAATGGAGTGCCTTGGTTCCCCAGGTAAACTTAATAATAAAAACCCACCAAATACAAGTTAGCACAATACCTATGCAGTTGCAAAACACTCATTAATTACTCTCTTCAGGTAATGTGATTCTTTAACAGACAAAGGCAGAACTTAATAAAGGAATATTTATTATGAGCAAAAAATAGTCACAGTGTTTACAAAAATATAGATGACAATCAAATTAGTTACACCAACAACAGATAAAAACAAAAGGGATAAAATAACAGAAATCACTTACTCAGGTATTTTAAAGTAAAACTTCTCCTCAGGGGGTCTCTGGTAAGGGAGATGGTGACTCACTCAGAATTAGATTCTGGCCCCCAAGCAAGTACAAACAGATTTCAGAATCGTTAGATATATACACTGTGTATTACCAAGCCTGGCCTAGAGGTGGAGATAAGGCAGGCCTATGAAACAATAAGTGACCACTCCCTTGTGTTCCAGAACAGCTTCAATCCAAATGGAAGCATTCAGTTCTATCTCCTTTTATGTACTTGCCACAGAAATAAGAATTGCCTCTATGAATTTGTTACCATTTTTCCATTCCATAGATATGTCATACTACTTGTGACCCAATATAGCGGACATCACAATCCCTTCCCGTACGGCTAAGTTACGCAAATCACGTTTGGGCTTGATTATGCTTGTTGAGGCTTAATTATTAATCTATGGGTACGTATTAATGTTTCTTTTGGATATGATACTTGAACACAAGGTTAATGATCATTAACATATCAAAGAAATTGACTCCTCAATTAAGAGGTAGAGGCCATATGGCTGAAGTTAGCTAGTTTACATTGGAACTAGAAATCCAGGCATCTCAAGTGTAGAATCTCACACCCTGCAGAGCCTTTGATTAATCAAAGGATCAATCCATGTTGCAAACCATCTGCCCCCCTTCACATTCCTATACCATTTACATTATTCCTTCTGTCATCTGACCTTGCAACCAAGTGGCCAATTCATATATGCACTACACAAATTACATTGAATGGCAATATTCTATTGTGCAACAATGAATTATGCACCCTTGGCGTGACATACATAGCTACGCAATGTTTGAGACAATTAATACTGGGTTAGGATTAATGATCTTTTTAGTTTTCCTGTAGGGCTTGGAGTGATGTGCCTTATCGCCTTGTCTAAAAAAACATTTTCTTTATAACCCCAATTTTTTGTTCACTGATAACAAGCCCTTTTTATTGGTAATAGCTTATGTGAATATATTACTTTGAAAGTGCTTAGTACTTTCCAATATGTATGTGTATGTGCCTGCTAGTGAGTGAGCTTGTGTGTGTTTCAGTGAGCTTGTCTGTAGTGAGCATGTGTGTGAGTGAGCTTGTCTGTAGTGAGCGTGTGTGTGTGTCAGTGAGCTTGTCTGTAGTGAGCTTGTGTGTATATCAGTGAGCTTGCCCGTAGTGAGCTTGTGTGTGTCAGTGAGCTTGTCTGTAGTGAGCTTGTGTGTGTCAGTGAGCTAGTCTGTAGTGAGCGTGTGTGTCAGTGAGCTTGTCTTTAGTGAGCTTGTGTGTGTATCAGTGAGCATGTCTGTAGTGAGCATGTGTGCATATCAGTGAGCTTGTCTTGTCATTGATGATCTAAGCCATGGAGGAGGGTCCAGCCATGGCAAAACTGGCACTGTGTGGGAAAAAAGATGAGTAAAAACACCTTTCTCATGCGATCAGAGGAGACATGTATCTAAACAGACACTGACAGACACACAGTCTGTGACCGAGACACACAGGCACACATTCTCTGACTGAGACACACACACACACACACACATTCTGACAGACATACACTGACAGGCACACAGTCTCTGACTGGGACACACATACACTAACTGAGACACACACACACAAGACACTGACAGACAGACACACACACACACATTTTCTCACACGCTCACAAATTGCTATTTTTATTTTAATTTAAATCCACCCAGCCTCCTTTCCTTTGGGAGAGCTGAGAGGATCTTTCCCTGGCGTCCAGTGGGGCTCCTCTCTAATCTTTCTACAGTTCCTCTCTGCTCCCCTGCGCGCTCTCTGTAGTGATGCCGGGGCGGAGTGACGTCATGTCACTAAACAGCGCACGAAGGGACAGAGAGGAAGGTTAGGGAGAGGAAGGTTAGGGACTGCAGGAAGGTTACTGCTCTCTCGTGCGCCGCCTCTATGCTCCCCGCGGCGGCCAGCTTCAATGCTCCCCACAGCTGCCAGCTATAAAGCTCCCTGCGGCGGGCAGCTTCAGTGTTTCCTGTGTGGCTAAGCTAAAGGGCTGACAAATCCCAGGTGCCAGCACGAAATTTCTAGTCACCATGACGACCTGGTGCTTGGGATTTGTTGAGCCCTGTATATATATACAATACATTCGATTATGCAATCTCTATTTATTTATTTTACTCTGTATATTTGTTTTACTCTGTATAAAGTAAAATCTACTAACTGATTTTATTCATTTGCATTATCTAGTAATGCTTAACTAGTGAGATAATTGTATATATTCCTTTCCATTCCATACTATATATATACACTGTGTTCCTTATCAGTCCCATATCTTATATATATATATATATAAATATATATATATATATATATATATTTGCCCATTGACCCCATGTAAACCCATAGAAGGTTTACTCATTCCTCTCTTCCCCCCACCTTCCTATTGGTGGCTGCACCCTCCCCTGAGTCCCCACACACTATGTAATTCATCCCCACACATCATTCATTTGTTTGTTTCGATTCAGAAATTAGGACATGCCCACTAACGTCATTAGGACGCGGCCGCTGAAGGAACAGGTCGCGCCCTATATTATGGAATAATACACACGCCCCTCCTCTTATCGG